AAATTTTAATATAGAGAGAAAATTTCAATTTTCACTATGTTTTATTAGTAAATTTAGCCCCTGAGTCATTACTTTTGATTGCCACTATATATATAATATTTTTTTATTTTTCAAAATATATTATATATATATTTTATTTTTTATTTTATATAAAAATAAAATGAATTTTATTAATTTTTTAATTTTAATAAATATAAAATTAAATTAATTTCTAATTTAATTAATTTTAAAAAATAAGTAAAATTTAATTATTTTAATTTAAAATTAATTTATTAATTAAAACAATTAAATTAAAAAAAAGATAAATTAATAATTTTAAAAATAAAAATCAATTATATTATAATAATATTTATAAAAATTTATAATAAAAATAATAAATTATATTTTAATTAAATTTTATTAATAAAGAAATATAAATTAATAAATTTTTAATTTATTATTAATTATTATAAATTTTAATTATTAATTAAATTATTTTTTATTTATATTTATAAAGATAATTAAAAGTAATATGATACTTAAATTTTTACTAATTATTATTAATAAACTATATATTTTTTCTTATATATTAAAAGTTTTTAATTTTATTAACAAATATTTTTTTATTTTTAGCTTAAAAAATAACTAGAATTTTTTAGTTTAACATATATTTTTATTTGTGATTTGTTCTAATTATATATAAAATTAATTAATTTCACATGTAATTGAAACAAGTTACTGATAAAAAATATATATTAAACTAAAGAACTTTAGCTTTTTTTTAAGTTAAAAATAAAAATATTTGTTAATAAAATTAAAAACTTTTATATATAAAAAAATATATATTTTATTATAATTAGTAAAAAATTCAAGTATTATATTACTTTTAATTATTATTATATTTTAAAAATATTAAATAAATAAATTATTTCTTATTTAATATTTAAAAAAATATTAAATAAGATTTTGATTATATAAATATTAAAATAATTTAATATAATTTTAATAAAAAATATAATATAAATAATATTTAATAAATAAAAATAAATAATATTATTTTATAATAAATAAAGAAAACATATATAAATTTTTATAATATAAAATCATTAAATATTATAAAAATTAATTTAATAATTTAATAAATAATAAATATATTTGATTATACAAAAATTTTTTGTAAAATTAAATATAAAAATAATAATAAAAAATCTTTTAAATGATAAAATAAAATTTAAATAATAATATTAAAGGATAAAGAAAAAAATATATTTAATAAAAAAAGATAGTCCATCATCTGAACAATACTCTAAATTTTCAGCGAACCCTGTTTAATGGTTTTAGTGATTTTATAGGGTAATGATAACAGTTAGAGTAGAAGACAAAAATATATGTAAAATTGTCATCCGACATTTTAATTAGTATTCCAAGACAGATTTAGGCATTAGTTTCTTGTAATATTCATTTTTCATATCTTGTTCATTTGCCGGATTGATTGGACATGGATCACAGACGGACTACACTTTAGGAGGGTTTGTTATCCAATGCTAGTGAATCAGATCTAAAAACCAGATCTACAATTAGTTAAATTTGATTTTATCCTTGCATTCACTTCATAATTCTGAATCATCCAAAAAATAAGAAAAATGATACAAATGAAAAATGTACAATTTCCTTGCGTATTTTAACTGATTAGGTTCAAGAAATTTATAATTTAAAAGAACCCTTGTTGCATTCTCTGTTACCCATTTGTATATGCACTTTAAAATTTTGAGTTTTATTGTATTTAAGTAGTGAATTGAAAAAAACGAACAACCTTAAGTTCAATTTTTAATGATGTTATATACCGCAACGTCCCACCTCTCTAAATATGTAATGACCCGATTCGGGCATACATATGAACAAAAAATTACCAGCAGGACAATATCGATCGATTTGATTGTGCATAGAGTACTTTCAAGATTAAAGGATCTAGAGTTGAGAAGTTTTAAATTTTTCAGAAGCGAACAACAATTCTCGCGAATAATAATAGCAAAAGACCTAATAAAACTTTTTTATAATACATGTTATCGCTAAAAATTGCAAAAGACCAGTAAAATTTTGGGTTTCGTCCGCGCTCACGGGACTCATCAGTTGGCTTTTGCGAAAACTTCGCATTGGAGCAATGCCAATACCCAAGAAATCCTTACTTAGATAGGTATTTCTGGAGTAATGAATAATATAAAGAAAACAATGGAAAAAATAAAAAATCCACTTGTCTCTTTCCACGACTCTCCCGTATTCCCATCATTATCTCTATCCAAAGTCTCCGAGATACCCAACACCTTCTCCACCAGGTTTTTTCTGTAGCGTGGTGACGGGTTGTTCAAGCCGGCTTGCTTCCGATATTCTATATCGCTCTAAAATGAAAAAAAAGGAAAGGCAAGACAATAGCACAGCATTTATTTATTTATTTAGTTTAGTTTAATACTTATTCCGCAGCCAATAATCTAAAGTCTCCGAAGATCCCCAACGCCATCTCCACCAGGCTCGTATCCATCGCGTGGTTGAGCTAGAAAATAAACAAGTCGTTGACTTCCGTTCTGAACCGTTCTAAATTCAAACAAATTAAAACACAACCGCCGTTCTATGAAGAAGTCACACAAACTTTTTACCCTCTGTTCTGAACCGTTCTAAAGTCAAGCAAGTTAAACACAACCACCGATATACCGCTCTAACAAAGAAGTCACGCAGTTTAACACGATATACCGTTCCAAGAAGTCAAGCACAAGCAATAGCGTCGCGTCCGTTCCAAGAAGTCGTTCTGTTGTTAAGCAAAACAAAAATAAAAAAATAAAAAAAAAAAGCAATCCATTTTATAGTTGTGATGCGTCATCACTATCAGTCATCTATCATGATAAGATACGCCTCATGACGAGGCTACCGTGTGATGAATGCTCAGCGTAAACACAAAGATCTACCCATATTAGTTTGCTATTAATACAACACAAAACACTGGGGTCTGATAGGCATGTTTTTACTATCGTTACATTGACTGTGATTTGCATCAAGATCTTATAATACCAAATCGTTGTGAAAAATGCATTAATTTTTTTCACGATCAATGACATATTAATTGACAAAGACAATTACCTTGACCAATAAAAATTGTTATTCTTATAATACATATATGCAATCGGGAAATGTTATTAGAATAGAAACAGCAGCAGTGAAAACCAAAGGCAAAGAACTTGAACTTTTATTATGTCAACCTTTCCAACCACCACAGGCAGTAACCAACAAATTTGAATTCAATGTTTCCAAGCACAACCAATTACAACAAGCAGACATCCAACGAACGCTTTCCAACCACAGTAAGTAGCAACAAATGAACCTGGCTTAAACGAGACCTTTCGCCTCAAACCTACGAAGTAACAATTGCCGAATTAAGAGAATTTTATGATTAGATGCTGGATTTAAACAAATTTGAGATGTATTTCATATTCTATTTTTTGTGCCAAAAGACAAAGAAATTCATAAAGATATTATAAAGAATAAATTAAATCTACGAGGAAATATTCAAATTTAAAGTTTTCTAATGCCAACTATTTTTATTTGTATGATATAATTTAAAGTAATCATATATATATATAATATAGAATGTTTATAAGTTCATTAGTTAATTCCATTATATATGTACATTAGGGTTCTGCAAACGACCATACCGGGCATAATTGGCATCATGCTGGACAGAAGTGCCTTTACTACTTTGCGTTTATTTTCCACCTTTAAGTCTACATGTATATTTACTGTCGTGTTTGCATTTCAACCTCATGTTTGCATTCATCTTAGTATTTGCACTTTGCGTTTGCATTTAATTTATTCACACTATTTTTTTAATATTAGTATTATTTTCGCGAAATTACGCTCATGGACGTCATTTTAAAATTGTACCCGTTAAAAATAGCATACATGGTTTCAAAATAACAACCACGCGCACCCCATATAATGGATTGGCAGATTACAGTCAGCACGGAAAGTAATGGCGGTTAAACAAAAAACGGTTTTTATTACCTTTAAAAATGTCCGACAACCCCGTAAAATTCAATCGTGAGACCGTAAAGAGATTTTGGCGAAATGGCTGGCGTAATGCTAGAGAAATTTCGCAAAAAACTGGTATTCCACTTCGCTCTTGTGGCTTCGCTTCGTAAAAATGGACAAATTCCGGATATTCGTCGTCCTGGTCGTCCACATAAAATTTCGCCTACTAT